TTCTGAAATTTCTATTTGGTTTTTCATATATTCTATATATTCTGTTTGCTAAGAATTTTTGTTTTTGTTTTTGTTTATCTGAAACTCTTGTTTCATCTCAAGCAGGCCCATGTTTGCTTGTCCAAGAATTTTTACATTGGCTTTTGAAACTCTTGACAAACCTAACCCCTGTCACCTTCCTGGTGGTATCTACTCACTGTCTCATTTGTTTAGGACTGTGCTGGGTGTTGAGTGGTATTTTATTGAAACCTGGGCCTTTGGGGGCCATGATACAATGAGACTCCAGATCATATTTAAACCTTCCATTTTGGCTGGCTTCCTGATACCACTCTGGCAGTACAGGAGAGGCTTCTCCATGTTCCAACAGGTTGGTGTCAAAATCCAGGTTCCCCAGGTGGCCTCAGCTGGCTCTGTGTGATGCTATGTCCGTCCGTGTCTTCCTGGCCACAGACAGGAAGCTCTGACATCCTTTCCAGGCTTAGTTACAACCAAGCAAGGTCTGTCTGACACCCAAAGGTCTTGTGAGTAGTTAGTAGCCGTAGGTACTCTCCAAGGAGGAGAGTGCCCTATGAGGGTGACAGCCAGCCAAACCTGAAGATTGTTAGTGAGCTTGAGCCTTGTCATAGCTGTCTTCACAGGTCATGGAGACTGGCATCTCAGACTCAGAACTGTGTCCTTCAGTGTCTGTGGGCTAATGCACTGCTAGCCAAACAGTGTATGCCCAGGGGTCTTACTGTCGGTTCTAACGATGCCCAGAACACATATTCATATGGCTAAACTCTTTGCCTAATGATAGCACATTAGATGACATTGAATATTTGAAAATAAAATCAAGTTTAGTTCTTAGTTCTTCTTGTGTACTGTGCAATCCTTTTTTTTTCCCCCCCAGTTCCAGCATGTGCTAATTACAGGTTTTTTGTTTGTTTGTTTTTTCTGTGGAAGGTTCCCTTTCTCCCACCTGGCCACAGTACCCTCTGGCTCTTCCTCTGATCTGTTTGCATTGTTCCAGAGCCTTCAGAAGCCTCTTTTATATCGAGAGATAAGATCCTTGGGCCTGCCCTGGTTTTCTGTGCTTAAAGACCCTGTTATTAGCTAGGAGTCACAATGCATACCTGCAACCTTACCTCATAGATGGCTGAGGCAGGAAGGTCGGGATTTTGAGGTCAGTCTGAGCTACACAGGGAGATACTGACTTTAAAACTTGACCTGACTATTCTCTAACAATATTATGAATATCATGTATGGAAAAGGTATATTTAAAATCATGGGTGTAACAGTGATTTTCTTTGTGTGTGTGTGTGTGTGTGTGTGTGTGTGTGCAGATGGACAGATGGACAGATGGATGGATATGTCCATACTGGTATTTGAATCTAGGGCCCTGTGCAGGACAGGTGAGTGCTCAGCACTAAGCTTTATCTCCAGCAACAGTGGTCTTTTTAATTTCATTAACACTGACTTGCTTACTGGTTATATATTCTCTTAACTAAATTTATTCCCCTTTTAAAATAATTTGGTGAACCATGCAAATAATATGCTAAACTGAATAAAACTCACTTTTTAACACCCTTCGCATCACAGTAGGACCAATGCAGTGTCGCTGTACCAGTCTCAACACTAAGCCCACCAGTGAGAAACATTTTTCATGCCAGTTGCCATGGGGACTGTTCTTTGAGTACATTTTTACGAAGTCTTCATTCAGTTTGATGTAGTTTGGCAGCTCTCAAAGTGCTTTTTCACTTGGCTCCAGTCACACAAAGGCCATCTAGCATAGTGTGGGCTTTTTTTCCTTATAGTATAGGAATTAAACCCAGCCCCCCCCACCACACACACACACACACACACACACACACACACACACACACACACACCACATGGCAAGCACTTTATCACTGAGCTGCACCCTCAGCTCTGTTAGTTTTGAAGTTCTCTGTCACAGAACACTCAAAGCTCCTGCTTGGGGCCATCTTAAAGAACAGCCCTTATTTGGGTGCTGTCTTGTGGGAAGATTAATATTTGCAGTGAGACTCAAGGGCTGGACCAAGGATGTACTGACTGCCTCTTGCCCCTCAGCAACACCAGGCAGAATACAGGTCTGAGGGTTCCATCAGAGGCAGCAGCCAGCTGTGTGCTCTGCCACTTACTTCCCTGGTGATCCAGTCTTTCTATGGCTTGGACACATATTTCTCACCAAACCCCTGTGCTTACCTGCCACCCCCAGCTTCTTCCACTCATGCCTCCCTTTTTTTTGTTGTTGTTTTTTTTTTTTTTTTTTTGTTTGTTTGTTTTTTGTTTTTTGGGTTTTTGTTTGTTTGGTTTGGTTTTTTTGGGTTTTTTTGAGACAGGGTTTCTCTTTGGAGCCTGTCCTGGAACTTGCTCTGTAGACTAGGCTGGCCTCAAACTCACAGAGATCTGCCTGCCTTTGCCTCCCGAGTGCTGGGACTAAAGGTGTGTGCCACCAACACATGGTGTCCTTAGTTTGTTTTTTTGAGAGAGTTTCTGTGTATACAGCCCTGGCTGTTTTCACACTCTCTCTGCAGTCTGGGCTAGCCTCAGACTCACAGAGATCTTCCTCCTGTCTCCCAAGTGCTGGGATCAAAGGCGTGCACCACCACTGCCCAGTCATTCATTCCCTTTTCTATGCCAACCCCCAATACTGTGCTGATGCCTGAACTGTCACTGGTGGTGGCCCCCGTTCTTGAGCCCTTCCCATGCTGTTCATTGTGCCCAGTGCAACTAAGTGGCATAGCAAGAGAAACAAACAACTTCTTTTGAAAAAAAGTTAAATGAAACTGAAGCTTACAGAGGCCTAGATGCTGCGCTATGGCACATGGCAAATCTATGTATCTTTTATTAGAGACCCAGGCCAGGCAGGCCTGACTTGGAGACTTGCAACGGGCTTTTTGAACATTAGACCTATGGTTTTGGAGTCCAGGGTGAATGTAGATAAGATGGAGTTGTTGTGCCCACAGTCTACATGTTGTGAACGCTGGCAGTTACTCCTGAAGAGACGGCTCAGTGGTTAAAAACATTGACTGCTCTTCCAGAGGACCTGGGTTTTAATCCCAGCACCCACATGGTGGCTCACAACCACCAGAAACTCCAGTCTCCGGGCATCTTGACAACCTTTTCTTGCCTCGTTGGTCATTACATGCATGCAGTATACATTTACACACATAAAATAAACTGAAAGCAACAAACAAACAAAACTGGTGGTTGACATATCCCTGTAAATCTAGAAGCCATTGCTGTTATCTTCATGTTTTCATCACTGGGGGGGGGTGTGGGGCAGTTAGCAATCCTGAAAAATTAATATAGCTAGGTACCATATGGAGTAAAAATGAGACCCAGATTTTGTGTGTGTGCGTGCGTTGGTGTTTTTGCATGCATTTATATCTGTGTGAGGGTGTCAGTTGTCCTAGAACTGGAGTTACTACAGACAGGTGGTGTGAGCTGCCAGGTAGGTGCTGGGATATGAGCCCAGAACCGATGAGCCATCTCTCCAACCCCGAGACCCAGAATTTGAGGGTAAAAAAGAGGGCACGCAAAATGAGGGCAAAGCTGCCATGTTTTTGTTTTCCTGCTTAATCTACATTGGGTATCTGCAGCCCATGTGAAGTTAGTGCACTTAACAAAAGCATCCTCTACGTTATTATTTGCATGGCTTGTTCCCAAGGTGGTACCTTATCTGCAGAGCTGGGTCACCTTTCAAATTCTGTGTGGTAACAGTTGCTGCCTGACCATGAGTTGGATTTTTCCTGACTTCCAGCATGATGCTCTCAGCTGTCTATTTACCATGGGCCTGGCCCTCTATCTCTTGGTCCCAGATGATGTATCATAGGCCTGGGGTCCCTATACTGGTTCACAGTCCAGTAACAGGCATTTTTCTTTGTTTTTTGTTTTGTTTTGTTTTGTGTGTGTGTGTTTTGTTTTGTTTCTTGCTTACTTACTGGAGACAGGCATGGTAGCTGGTACACCTGCCACTTAGCACTCAGTAGGCAGAGGCAAGTGGATCTCTGAGTTTGAGGCCAATCTAGTATCAAGTTCCAGGACATCCAGGGTTATACAGAGAAACACTGTCTCAAAAAACAAACAAACAAACAACAACAACAAAACATCATTAAAAACAATTTTGGAGGCCTGGCAAATTCCTATTATCCCAGCACTCAGGAGGAAAGCACAGGAAGATTGTGAGTTTGATGTCAGCCTGGGCTACACAGTGAGTTTGAAGCAAGCTTGGACAACCACAAAATAGTGTGTGGTGGGACATGCCTGTATTTTTAATACTCCTATACAGAACTAGGAAGATCAGGAGTTCAAGGTCATCCCATGTTACATAGCAAGTTCCAGGCCAGCCTAGGATGTATGAAACTCTGTCTCAAAACAGAACAACCCCCCCCACACACACACATACACATATATACACACATACACACACACATACAAACACACACACACACACACACACACTCACACACTCACTTCTTTTGGTTCTGAGGATCAAATCCAGAAACTTGCACTTTTTTCCTCCTTTCTTTCTTTCTTTCTTTCTTTCTTTCTTTTTTTTTTTTTTTTTTTTTTTTTGCCTCTGCCTCCTTCCTGCTGCGATTAATAAAGGCATGTGCCACCACTGTCCAGCTGACACACACCTTAACCACATGTGTGTCTTACTGGGTTCCTCCCCACCAGGTTCCCTCCGTTGTGAGCATCTTACTTCATCAGGTTCCAGAGCTGCTAGAAGAAAATACTAGAAACTCAACCCCAGGACAAGCCTGGGAAGAAAGAAGGACATACAGTAGAACTTCCCCAGTAGGGCCCAGTAGAACTTCCTACTGGGCCAACTTCAAAGGGACTAGGTTCTTCAGGAACTGGCAGCTCTGGGTTGAACTCAGGGCAGGGCTGACTGGATGCTCCACAGACTTCTGATGTAGGCTGGGACAGGATTAAAGGGGGGGACCCAGTCCTGTCCAGTTCTCAGGGTTCCGGGTCCTCTGTCTAAGCAGACAGCTGAGCTAATGCTGCAGTGTGCTGAGAGGCGTCTCCAAGAGGAGAGGTCCATGAAAGAGCTGGTGGAGCAGGTCATCGAGGGCCAGAAGAATGTCAAGGTGGCCCAGATGAAGCTTATGAAGGGCCGGCAGCAGAAAGGTACTGAGGGGAGTCCGATGGCACGAGGCATGCCCCATTCCTTTACATCTTTCTCAACTACCAAACGAGCTACTTTGCTCAGCGAGGGGTGGTGTCGCTGGAGGGTGGGCTAGGACTGTGCAGAGGCCAAGGTCTGAAGAATACACTCCTGAGGACATAGCCCCTGCCCATTGTCCACCAAGCCATCCACTGTCCTCATCAGCATCCACTTGGTTCCCAAGTTCAGGAGCTGATGGAAGAGAGCAGGGAGCTGCTGCAGCGTAGCACGGAGGCAGCCAAAGAGGAACAGAGGCGGCGCTGTGAGCTCATTGCCCAGCTGCGCGCACTGGAGACACAGCCCACACTCAAGGGCAAGCTGGTAGACCTGACCCAGGTGAGACTGTGGCCCCTAGAGGCTTCAACTTCAGGGTTCCTCCTTGTGTGATACAGCATGCACAGAATTCCCATCAAGGCCAAAAGTGGGTCTTGTCCTACCTACAACTCCCTAGTTACTTGGGTACCACCAGCTGTGGATTGATTAAGGTTAAGGTACTTGCTACAGCAAGACAATGAGTTTCTCTGTGACCTTTCAACTAACCTTGATATGGTACCAGCCACACACCAAAGAAATAATTCCACTCTAATCTAAACTAGTGAGCCAGTGATTTTATTGAGGCCACATATAGGATCATGGGGGAGGACTAATTATGGGGGAGGCATAGATAACTCAAAGGTGAACTTACCAAAAAGTTCACCCCAGTGCAAGGGATGACTCAGAAATGGTGCACCCCAGGAGCTCCCTGTACAATTTAAAAAGCAGCTCAGTCTGCTGTTGTGTGAGAGGCCCCATCCTCCCTTAGCCCTTGGTTTTCTCTGGCTCTGGACTTTTAACTTGAGTGCTCCTTACTCCCCTTTCCGTCTTGGGTCTGGAGAGTCCAGGAACCTTACCCTTCAACATGCATCTCCCCAAATGGCTACCTCCGGGCAGTTTAGCTCTCTCTCTCCCCTTCAGAGATCCAGATCTGATGGGTAGCTCTTTCCTTCAAATAAAAACATTCCATCCTGCAGATAAGAGGGAGGCTCCTAGGACTCAGGAAGCAAAGGAAACTTACAAGGCTCAGGAAGCTCAGAAACTTACAGGATTCACAGGCCTTGATTTGTGGCCTGTGATTTGTATAGCAAAGACAGTTGCTGGAAAGAGAAAACTCTTATACAAGTGCTGAATAGCAATTTCTTTCCAAGAGAACCACCCATTCCAGGAGTGTAGGTTCAGGAGACTCAATGATGGGGGCTGCAGCATGTATGAGAAAGCAAAGGAGTGCCAAATTCACAGGTGCAAGGGGGCAGGACTGGGAGGCTTTTGCAATTGACTGCTAGATCTCACCTAGCTCTAGGAGGTGAGGAGCATCTAGCTGAGAAGTTCAACTCTACTGTAGGGTTCCAAGTTGCAGCTGCTGATGGAGGTTATACAGGCAGATTGAAGCAGAGGAAAGGTCTTCTTGGATGAGGGGCAACTGGCTTTACAGCTGCTAGCTTAAGGACTTCTTCCCCTGTTATTTGGAAGATCCCAGGATATGGTCTGGAAGGCGAGATGTCTGTTGTGGAACTTCGAGAAAGGCTGGCCCTGCTTAAAGAGACCCAGAAACGAGAGAAGGAGGAAAAGCGGGATCAAATCATTCAGGGCAAGCGAGCCAAAAGCCAAAAGCTGCAGAACACACTGGAGCAAATCTCACTGTGCCGTGCAGCCATGGGCAGAACTGCAGCCTTGAGGTGAGTACCAAAGCTCCAAGGGAGCAGCAAGCCTGCTATGAGCCTTTCTCGGTGGGTCCCCTGACCACACCAGCAGCCCCTGCCAGACAATCCTTTACAGCAGGTCTGACCATTTTTATTTTATGGGAGAATTATCAGTTCTGTGGCAATGGCTTTGATGCCTATGCATCATGAATGCGTCAATGTCACAAGGACCTTTGTGCCATATGCACTTCACCTAGTTAGCTGTTTGCCAGCTTTCAAAGCCTAATGAGAATAGTTGCAGACATCTGAGCACTGTAATGTATATTTTCTTTTTATTTTTTAATGATGTTATGCATAAACCACAACACCGTGACACAACTAGCAAAAGTATCCAAACTTCTCAGCATCATTTAAATATCCTGTCTGCATTCACACTTCTCCAAGTGTCCTAACACTGCTAAGATTTTTAAAACACTGTTTTCTTTGTAAACCACTATCCAGGTCACACATAGTTGTGTGTGCATATATGCACATAGCTTTTATGTTTGAGAACATCTTTTCTAGGCTAATGTCCAGTGGCAGCCAGGTTGGTCACAACTGCTCCAGGGGAGGTGATAACTAGGCCTATTACAATGGAACACACTGGTCTCTAGGGGAAATGCCTCCATGTGATTGGGAAGGGGTGGCCAGAAGAAGGACCCTAACTCATTGCCAGTGGAAGAGAATATATCACTCCTGGTTCAAGCAGCTGCTGTCCTGGCTGCAGTCCAGAGGAAGCAAAGCCACTACAGCCTGCTCACAAAGGACTAGCTGGCCACATTATACAGTGACGCATGTCGCAGGAAATGCACCACTTCCCATCTGCTGGCCTCATCCTTGAAGACCCCAAATGTACTAGTTGATGTCGCAGTACCTCTCAAAGTTCAACTCTGGTAACAATGTCCTTGGACCCCACCCCTGTTCCTGCAGGCAGTCTCTATTGCAGGAATTTAATGAGAATTTTTGTAGGGGAACAGGGGCCAGTACAGCTGGGCAAGAGCTAAAAAAGCAAGAGAGCACGTGCTCATACTTTAATCAAAGCTGCAGGCAGCAAGACCTACAATTGGACAGGGAAAGTGGCTCATATTAAGGGGATGTGCAGAAATACTGTCACCTGAGCGCCATGAGCATGCCCAAGGGGGTGTGCGGCAAAAGAAGTTTCCTCATTTTCATACCAATTCCATGTTAGAATGCAACTTTTTTTTTTTAAAAGGGGCCTAGTGGTGATTGAGTAGGCCTTTAATCCCAGCACTTGGGAGGCAGAGGCAGGTATCTCTGTAAGTTCGAGGCCAGCCTGGTCTACAAAATGAGTTCCAGGACAGCCAGGCCCATTATATAGAGGAACCCAGTCTTGAAAACCCAAAAAAGTGCTCAATTGGGCATCACATTTACAGAGAGAGAGAGAGAGAGAGAGAGAGGGAGGGAGGGAGGGAGGGAGGGAGGGAGGGAGGGAGGGGGAGAGGGAGAGAGGATACAGAGAAGAGCGTGGCCTCTGTGCAAGGATGACACACAAATTCATGAAGTGTTAAAAAAAAAAAAAAGGAAGAAAAAGAAACAAAAAAGATTAGAAGGGTGCTAGCAGGATCCCACAAGGACACCCCTGGGTGTCGCCCAGCCAGCTTCTAAGCCATCGCTGTCGCGGTACAGGTGGGAGGAAAAGAAGGCCCAGGCGGCAAGCCTGGGTACACCCTCTCAGGACGAGCGAGTGTTGGAGCTGCAGCGAAGAATGCAGGAGAGGGCAGCTGAGCGTCGGAGGCAGGCAACACAGCTGCACGTGCCAACACCCCGGACCATGCGCCCTCAGCTGCGGGTGAGCTGGGCGGCAAGCTAGGGAAACCTTTCGGGTCTGAGAGGTAGCGGGCTGTTAGGGCTTGAGGAAGCTGATGTCTGGGCTCCTGGCTGTGTGTGGAACCCAACGCCTCCCCAAACCTCCCGCTGGCAGGCTCAGGCGGAAATGCAGCACTGGCTGGAACTGGACCAGAGTCGCGAACGCAGGCTGCGGGCAAGGCAAGAGGCAGACCGAACCTGCCAGCCTACCCATGACCTGAAGACTGCCTGAGCAGCCGGGCGGCCCTGCGCAAATACAGCGCGAGGCCGCCGACCTGGGCCCCTGCCCCATCCCCTCCCAGAGCATCCCTTTTCCTGCAGCTCAGCCTCTCCCCAGCTCCAGCCTGCTCCTGTGTGGATGCCCCAGAAAAGACAAGGTGCAGTGGTGCAGGAGAAACACTTAAACAACTACTCTTGTTCTGGACTGCAACTAGCTAGCCACGTGTTTATATGCTAAACCTAGCCCTTCCATACTCCCGGCAAGGCTTTTCCTAGGACTGGAAGCCCCATTCTCCACTTGGAGCCAGTAGCAGCGTGGGATGGTGAGTGAGGCCTGATTCTTGAACATCTTCTCTGGACTGGCCCTTCTCATGCCTCATGTGAATCATCTGAGCGTTCCATTGTTGCGCGTGGCAACCATTGTCCAGTTTTGTTCTGCTAATGAGACCACCTGTGCTCAAAAAAAAAAAAAAAAAAAAAAAAAAAAAAAAAAATGACTCTAGCCTGAAAGCCTTAGAATTGACTGCAGGTGCCTTTCAGGGCCCTCTATTCAGCATCAAGAGCCCGAATTCCAAAAAAAAAAAAAAAAATCATAGCCCTAGGGGACACCCCCTCAACAGGGCACGTAGCAGGCAGATGACATGTGTTCTAAATTTCTGGCCTTCGTGCTGCTCTGCACTGGGGAAAGCTGGACTTTAATAATAGGTATATGGAATGAATGCCTGCTGGTGAAACTTAGCCTGACGAATAAAGCTGTATTGTGATGTTTGGTTCATAGGAAGAAGAGAATGGCACATCATGGGGAGGGAATAAGCAAGGAGAAACTGCTAGATGGGTAGATGTCCAAGAGAGAGACACTATCCCCTGGCCATCCTCCTTAGGCCTGCAGAGAACATGGGCCCTCAGGTGGTGAGGCTGTACTCCAGGGTGCTTTCAGACCAAAAAAGCCTCTTTGCATTGACAGGAGTTCTACCTCAGTATTGAGAACTAACAATTCCAAGGCTCTTTACAATCCTTGGGGGAGGGGGGAGTGCTGTGGGGAGGAAGGAATCTCTGTCTCCCTGTTGAAATAGAATTGGAAGCAGATTCAATTTTACCTTAATAAAAGCCACATTTCTTACAGGTTTTGTGTGATTCAAACTCAATAAAATAATGGAGGGATTATGCTAGTGATTTCAAGCCAAAGGAAAGGTGGATTTTGATATGCTGGACATGGGTCTCTGACTCCAGGATGCTCTTGTTGGTCTAGCTCCTGTAGGAAAGCAAGTGTGCATGATGGCCTGAAGCAAATACTGACAAGGCATTAGTGATTACCTTTCACTTTAGGCCAGATTCTGCATAGTCCAACAAACTGGGTGCTACTGGCAATAGTGCGGTTGGCAGTGAACATGGTACTTCTCCCTTGTCCTGGACTGAGTAGCTGCTCAGAGACAGCTCAGGAGCACCTGGGTGTTTGCTCCATAAGCCTGAGTCGGAGAGCAGGATTGAGAGTATTTCTTAGTGTTATGGCAAGTGGACACTGTGTGTGGTAAAAATATGGCCAAATGTTAGCCTATATCAATATCCATTGCCTCCAAGCTTTACATCTCTGGTGTTGCTGGGTCTGGTAATCTCCGTACTTTGAAGGTAGAGGCAGGAAACAAAATGAAGAGTTGGACCAGCTTAGGTAGTGTAGTAGGTAGCAGGCCAATCTGGCTACATGGCAATGTCTTATTTAAAGAGGTAGAGAGCAAGCAGGATGGCTCAGTGGCTTAGAGTGCTTGCTGTGCAACCCTGGCAACCTGAGCTCAACCTCTGGAATCTATGTGGAAAAAGGTGGAATCAGAGAAACAACTCCAAAAAGTTACCCTGTGACTGTCTACATATGCTCATGGCACATGTCATCTCTCCTGACACTTAGACCCCCATGAAGAAAAAACAAAAACAGAAACAAAACAGGTAGCTTATGAAAGGGAAAGTATCTGCTCAGGACCCCCAGGACCAAGTTCTCAGCATAAAGGGCAGAGGACAAGAGACAAAGATAGGCGATAGAACATGAGGGAGAAGGGGAAGGGAACAAGGGAAAGACTTGGTCAGAAGCATTCGTCCAACAGAGTGGACCAAGACCGCCTGTGGAAAAAGAGACAGATGTGGCACATGGGAAATGGCAGTTTATAGAGGTACAAGAGGAAATGCCGTGTTAGGATGAGGTGTTTAATTTTAATTAGGCATGTTAATTAGGTGAGCCAAACAGGGCTTTTGATTGCTGGACTTAATACTTTGATTGCTGGACCTTGGTAGTTGGCCTCAGGAGGAGGAAGTAGCTAAATAAGGTTACAGACCTTGATGGCTCACTTTAAGGATGTAATCTAATGGCTTTTAGCAAGGCAGAAGGAATGGAGGAGAAAAGCAGGGCATGCTAGAGCCATGCTCACCAGGTTCAAGCTGAACAGAGTTCTTTCAGTTTATGTCCTCAGCATCTGACTCATCTCTGGCTTCATAACTTTCTTTGTCCAATATCATGCAGAAGTGACAGTGTGCTAGTTTAGAATCAGTCACCAAGTAGCCTTGTCTGTTCTTTTTGAAGCCTGCCTGGCATCATTTGAACATGATCAGGGTGGCCTGCTGAGATGACTCCACGTAGAAGAGTGTCACTTGTCCCTGACAGGCCATCCTAGATCATCCTGCAACCAGTGGATTGCAGCAGTAGGGACAGCCAGAGCCTGCACCTTGGCCTCGTACAGATTCATGAATAACAATGAACACATTCTGTTTAAGGTATGGAGATTTGGAGATTTGAGATATTTGAGATGACTTGTTCAAAAATAAAACCTAAATGATGCACTTTCCATCCAGGGCCTTCATATTGGAGACTCCTGCCTTCCATTCCCTCTGTGGATCTTTTTTTTTTTTTTTTTTTTTTTTTTCTTTTCCCCAAGACAGGGCTTCTCTGTACTGTTTTGGAGCCTGTCCTGGAACTCACTCTGTAGACCAGGCTGGCCTCGAACTCACAGAGATCCGCCTGCCTCTGCCTCCTCCCAAGGTGTGTGCCACCATCACCCAGCTCCTTCTATGGATCTTTTAACAAAGGTGGACGGTCAGCCAGATCTATCTAAGGCGCACAAGGTACCCTGAATGCTCTTTCTGGACTTTTCTTGATTACAGTTCTTCTGGAGATGACCTGCCTACATACAGAAGACTTTTTTTTTTTTTTTCAAGACAGGGTTTCTCTGTGTAGCTTTGGAGCCTGTCTTGGAACTCGCTCTTGTAGACCAGGCTGGTCTCAAACTTGCAGAAGCAATTCAACCACATTTACGGAGATCTTCATATAGCTTGAGGGTTCCCATCCATGTTTTCTAGTTGCTAAACCAGTGCTACAACCTGGCTCAAGGACAGGTGGTCAAGAAAAACAGCAGTTTTTCTCCTACCATTCTGTTTTGCGGCACTCCAGGAGGGCCTAGCACACACTTGTATTATCTGTTAAGCCTCACATTCTTTCTCAGAAGTAGGTAAAATGGATCCCCTCTAACAGCTGTGAACGTGCTGAGGCTTGCCTAAAAATCATGCTGCTGGTTTCCAGAATCAGGTAGGGGCTACTCTAACACGAAATGTCCCAAGACCCAGTAATTCCAGGCTCTGGCCCTTTCCGAGGCCGGTTCTTCTCAGGCCATTCTTCTGAAGGTCAGTACGGCCCCAGCGAATACTTAGCATTTGTGTTCTTTTCTGAGTTTTGCCTTCCTCACCCCTCGCCTCTGCTCCTGACACCCTGGGCAAACACGGCCCTCACCCACCCATCCCCGGCTTCGGCACACAAATGTCTAGCCGGAACTCTTTCCGTCTAGTCCTCAAGCCTCCTCCAGGACTCCCGATGGGACCCGTGGGAAGAGTCGGGTGGGGCGGGGGCGGACGGACACGCCCACTCAGAGCCCGTCGTTCGGGGTGGGGATCCCAGCGAGGCTGCCTGGGGACCACTAGAAAACTGGGAACCTGAGCCAGTCTCCCATAGGTCTCATCATCGACCGAGGAGCCTGAGATGGGCATGGGGTGAGGGCTGGGGACTGCGATCAGTGTTAGGCGCGGCCAGCCTCGGGCCGCTTGCAAACCAGGTCAGAAGCTCAGGGCGGGTCGCAAGTCGCCAGCTGGCAGGCTCGCCCGGCGCCCCAGCAACGACTCCGCCGAGTTCTCGCGGGAGGAGCGCGACCGGAGGAGCTCTCGCGAGAGGTGGAAACTCGGGCACGCAAGCGGGGGCGTGGCCGGAAGAATGTGCATTTCAAAGCGGTAATAGATAGTTGTCTTACCCAATAGAATCACAAGTAAGCCTCCTAAACCGGTAGAGAACGGGAGCCAGGGCGGCGAAGGCCAATAGGGACTGTGAAGGGCGGGCCAGGGCCGGCCGAGCGGAAGTGGGTCTCGGTGAGGCGGTGGAGTCCTGCTTGAGCGGGTCGCCTCAGCGGCTGCTGGAGGGGCTACGTCCTTGTTGGAGCGCCTTGGCTGTGGCGTCTGCCCGATCTCACCAACTCCAAGTAAGACCAGGCTTCACAGGATGGAGGCGGCAAGTCGGGGCGGTGGGGGCGCGGGCGGCTTCTCGCCCTGCAGCCGAGTTGGTGCCCGCCAGTCGCGGCTCGTTCGGGCAGCCCGGGACCGCGCCTCTCGGGGTCAGGCCCGCTCAGCCTGCTCGGCCCCCCGAGAGCGCGCGGGTGTCGAAACCCGGTGCGGCGCTCGCGTCGCAAGTGGGGAAGTCTCGCTCTGAGACGCCGCTCGCCCAGCCGGGGCCTGGCCGAATGGTTCTCTTTTGCAAACTAGGAAGGGAAATTGATGTTTAAAGAGGGGAGGGACGCGCCCGAGGTAACTTTTGTTTTTGGCGGGGGAGCCGATTGGAGAGGACCCCTGAGCAAGGATTGTGCCCCGCTGACGACGCAGCCTTTGTGTGTTGGCGCCGCCGCCCCGCCTTCTTGGGGCCTGCGAGTTTACTGGGGCACCCAAGCCGCGTGGCGGGCCCTGGCTAAGCTGGATGAGTGTTGACGCTTGCGGGCCTTGGAAGTGAATGGGGTTTGGGCTTCCAGGAACCGCTTTCTGCTCTACTAATGGTTGGTGAAGCGTGCGATT